AAAAAAAAAAAAAAAAAGATTGTTGTTCAGTTTAAATGAAAAATATTTTAACTATCAGTGATACTAGTGCTTTCTCACAATCAAGATCTGTGCCTTAGGCTGTGTTATAATTTCGAACCTCCTGATATCTCCAAGTAAACACTCAATGAAATATTAAAATCCAGGGTTAGAGTCATAAAATTTGAAATTATATTATACACTATTAATTTCAGAAAGAAAAATGATAATTTGAAATGAAGATTTCATTAATTAAATTGATTCTAATACAAAAAACTATCATATTTGGGGGCATAAAAATTAAGGTAATTGTGATTTAAAGAAATATGCAAACATTACACATACATGTAATTATAGAAATTTTATATTTTTATAGAAATTGATTAACTTGAGCTCATAAGCTTTAGGAAAAAAATGTTGGCCTTTGTTTATAAAAATAGCAAAATGTTTTGTATAACAACTTGCTCTTATAGTAGGACTACAGTTTTACAAAGCCTGCAAAATGTGAGTCTTTCTTTTTATGAAACCTTTACATACTTAGGAAAAGGCAGATATACCCAGAATCATTTGGCTCACAATGTGAAAAACGAAAGATCTAAGTTATCAGTGAGATTTAAGGGCTGGGGATTTAGCTCAGTGGTTCTGCTGCCTGCATCACAAGCACAAGGACCTAAGTTCGATCACCGGTACAAAAACAAAATGACTACGAGATTTAAGTGTACGGGCCAGGTGCAAACTTTTTCGTGTGAGAGAAGATGGGTTGGGTTTGTGTTTAACAAGAAGCGATCTTGCTATTGGTAAGGGGGCAGGTGACTTACTTCTGCACACCAGGTCTGCTTCGGGCAGTCCTGGATGACTGTAATCAAGCCAGCACTACTGCAGGAGTAGGAGACACAAGGGTTGCTGGGGTCATCGAATGAAGCACCAATCTAGAAAGTGAGGGGGGAGAAAATATTTGTCCCAATTTCTCTTTGAGATTGACAATTCTATTTTAAAAATCCTAGTTAGTGACTGTTCAGTGACACTTTCTGCCGTGAGCTTAATGCTAAGAAAGGTGGACTGAAAGTCTTCTATTTCCATGAACAAAATGAATTTTTTCACAGAGGGTACAGAACACAATGTGTTGAGATTCTCTATCTTCAAAATGAAATTCACTGAAAGGTGTTTAAGTTGTACAAGTTCACAATGGATTTATCAGATTAGAGCAAATGACCAGTTTCCCAAGGTGTCTTCTAGCTTGCTTGTGCTCCTATGTGTTTGAAGCTTTTTAGATTTCTAAGTAGCTGATGCTCAATGTTCAAATCAGTTTGAGAAACTATTCCTCTCAAGATCTCAGCCCACAAGATGACTTTCTTAGTAAGCAGTAAATTAAAATTTTACTTTTTCAGCTGTTTTGCAAATACATAATTATTGCAAAGTTTCTTCTTTTGTTCATTAATCACCATTGTATTTTGTGTCTAAAAATTATAAGTTCTCAAGTCAGAATGACTTGGGAAATTAAAAATTGGGAAGTATAGGTGGTAAATGGGTTATGTAAATAAAGATGCCATATGCTATTTTACAGATTTCCTAATCTTCCACATTTTTAGATTTTTTTAAATACTTAGTATCAACAGGTCAACTATATTAATATCAATTTGAGAGTCATCTGACTTTTATGGCTTCCTGATACTTTTTTTCCAAAAAGTTGAATTACTGTCCAAAATGTCAAGTCAGTTGTCAAAAGTCCAGTGCTCTTTTGTGTTGTTAAATCCACATGGTGGGGTTCTAGTCCTTTGGATTTTCTTCTTTAATCTCTGACAGTTTGGCCATCTGATCTTTCCAGCTATAATTACAATTTAAGTCTGTTCATTGATTTAAACGTTACACAGTATGTCTTCTCCATCTGGCAAGACCGACAGGGAATTCCATTTAGAAACTTTACTGCTGGCTAGTTAATGATCAAATGTATTTACCCCCTTTTAAAAGAGCCATGGTGAGTGTTAAAAATAAAGAAATTTTCATATTATAATTGCAAAGACCCATGGTGAGCTTAGCATTTTTTATTCATATGATTATATTAATAAAAATATTTTACATAAGAAAATGCCATACCTCATAGTCAGTGTTGTTATAGAAACATGTCCTTGGTTCTGAAAAATAAGTACAAAGTTTTTGTTCTAAAATAAATTATTTTATAACACTGAAATTGTAGATGAGATCCTACTTATCAAGTAATTATGTTTCTCCTCATAAGGTCCATTTAATCTCCTGATTATATTGGGTTTCTCTCGTTCCGAAGATGCCAAGTTTTAAGGGGAAGAGGAATAATGAATCTGTTTTATTTATCACATGACTACTGCTGTGTAATAACACATAATAGCCTAACACTTACTTACTGAATATGTAAGTGAGTAAACAATGAATAGACTGTATTCCAATGCTGTATTATGAATACACACCACAGTGTCCAATTTCACAGCAGGTGTCATTAGCTTTAAACAGGACGCGCTTTTCCCCAGGTTTGCATGTAGGTGGAGAGGGACATTCTTTAGGTCGACAGTCTACAGTCTTTGCATCAGTACAGGTACACTGGTAGCAATTGGCAGTCCAAGTGTCTCCAGGCTACAGATACAAACCGAAGTTAGACTTCTACTCAAACGCAGGAATGAAAGCAAATATAGATTATAGTAGAGCAAAACCGAGTACTTACAGATTTCTTTTCTCCCAGTGGACCATGACAAACTGTTAACACAAAATGATGAATGCTTATTAAATTTGGCAAAATACAACCATCTGTTATTTATAGATAACCAGCAGGTGGCCAACACTGTAATTGGCACTGGGATTTGAGAGTGACAAAATTACGGAACATTATACAGTGCCTGAAGGTGGATAAATCACATCTACCTACTTCAAGCAAATCGTCCCTAAGAAGTGTGTGTGTCTTATTTTTATAAGTCCCAGCCAAGGGTAATTCCTGCCTTCTCCTGGAAGTGACCAATAAATCTTACAACTACTGTTTGACTTACCATTACATAGTCTGATTCATGCTTCTACAGTTCTGTAAAGTCTCAAGACTTTCTAACTACCAGACCCAGGGGCCCTTTCTAATTGCTTAAGTTCCTTGCCACAGCTGACATTATTAACTTTCACCTTCATAAAAATGTTCTTCCCCCTTTAGATTTAATCAGGGGAAACTCCTGTCTTCTTATCTCTATTATTTCTCTGGGGCTTTTATTTCCACAATGTCCACTGTAGATTAGGTGCTGGCTCTCGTACTTCTGCTCCAGTCCAGTCTTAACTCAATCATCTCATGAGCTGTGGACCCAGTTCCCTCCCCACCTACCAGACAGCACCCCAACCTCAGGCTTCAAGTGCACAAAAGAGACTATGCCTTCTCACCCCTAAAACCCCACTTTATCTTCCACACTAGCTTTTTCTTAACAACCACATTTATTCTTTCAATAACTCCACTTTAAAACTTAGCCCTTTTGATAATTTCCTTTCCATCATTTGTCATACAACCTACTGCCAAATTCTATACCTTCCTCCTCATTTTAATTCTTCAGTTCTTTATCCTATTTGATACCACACTACTCCAAGACCTTCTTATCTTTTATAACGCTAAGCTGGCTTAGATCTGTTTCTGATATAATCAACTCCTTATGCCATAGGTAAAATAATTTTTCTAATGTTCAAGTCTTAGCCCTGCTTTAATTAAAAACTTTTGATGGCTTCTTAGTCTTGTAAAATAATCCAATTTTAGTTTCTAAGGGCTCCTTACTGTGACTCACCAACTTTTAGCTTTATCTCATTTCTATTAATCTATACTCAATTAATCTACATATTGTCCTCAAATTCCAATCCTATAATAAAGTAATCCATCAAAAAATATAAAATATATATGACATACAATATGCATCCCTTATATAATACAAATCTCATTTTTTCTGTGAAATTTATTTACTACTGAAAGCAATAAATTTCAAAGCCAAATTTCCCAACAGAAAATCACCTCATTTTCATTGAAAGATCTTTCTTCTCTTACTAAATATTAAGATTAGAGAACTTTCTAGTATTTTTTCCTATTTGCTATAAGATATCACATTATCTTCAGAACAGTGAGGACTTTGTATGCTAAATTACTAAATTCTGGCTACATTAAATTTTTCTTGCTACAGTTTAACCTTTAAAAAGCCAGAACGATCGCCAGGGATTTAGCTCAGTGGTTCTGCCACCTGCCTCTCAAGCACAAGGTTCTGAGTTTGATCCCCGGTATTAAAAAAAAAAAAAAGTCAGAATGATCTACTTTTTCAGACATTAGTTTTTCATTGACAAAATTATGGTCAAGATATATAATGATATAAAGAAACAAAATCTAAATAACACGGTATACTTGTTTTCTTTGGCTGCATTCTTTGTGAGTGAAAAATTTGGTGACTAAAAGCTGTATTTATCCACTTCAACTTACAATATTTTTATGGCTAATGCTTTACTGGCCTGGCAGATGAAATTTCACTTGCAGGAAGTATCACAGCTGAATGATCGTGTTAATGGAGGTGTTCTTACCTGGAGCTGGTGGAGGTGTTGCTGGACATCCTGCATAAAACAGAACACTCAGTAAATTTCTGAAGTTCTTGGAATCACATTGGAGAAAGGATAATTACCTAATTTATTAATGTATTGCTAAAAAATGGCTATTTGTCATAGGCAAATTCCCATCTATCTCCTCTTTTTGCTCCTTATGGCAATGGAGATCCCACAACTACAGAATAATTTCTTTCGACCTCAAATTTTAATGTCAGAAATGTATGAAAGCTGAAAGGAGAAAACATAAAGATAAACTTTTCAAAATTTTCTTGAAAAATAGTTCTGATGCATACAGCAACAAAATAAAGAAAAGGATAACTCAGGTTCAGGAAATGCAGTTATTATTACCTATCTTTAATCCTTTAATAACTTTTGTCCTCTTTGTATCCTCTTAAATACTACTGATTTGTTTTCTATTCATCTCCACCAAATGCTTTAAACTGGTCACATGTATGCTTTTGAGAATCAACATATCACAGATTTTGGTCAACTCAAAAATTTACTCAAAAATTTAAATTCTATTTAAAAACTGCTATTTTTAAAAAAATTCTTTATGTTCACCCTCCCACGAAGGCTGGTCTAGGTATACCAAAATACTTACAAAGAAAGTAAAATTTCTCTGTTTGTCTCCAACATAAAGATGTGAGCGTCTGGGGATTAAATGTCTCTATATGTTTGCCATGGTACCCTAAAGTAGTTCATACTCAGGCCCACTTAGCAAACTATCAAAAATGAGCAAGAGGAGTCATCAATCAAGAATAAATACAACAGAAAGTCTTCCCTGACCACAAATACAAGTTCAAAAAATGTATCAGTAATAGGTTGATAAAAGAGAATTAACATCCACATTACTACTTCTCAAAATCAACCAATTGTATCATTATTGATACAATTCTGAATGAAGTTTCAATTACGAGGATAGAGTCTCACTGAATTTTAGAATTAAAATAATATATAAACTCCATATATCCAGGGCCAACATTTGCTTGCTTCCCAAACCCACCCATCTTTCTGTTCTCCACTCTTTTCTCCTGCTTCTTTCCTACCATCCCACCCCACAACTGGGAACCCCTTCTGCATCCCCAAAGCTACCCTCATTGTTGATGAGGCTGTGTTGCCAGCATTCACCTGATTGTGCTCCCGTTCCTGCAGATTCTTTGGGTCCGGTGGAAGCAGGGACTGATAACAGAGGAATAAGAGTGGTGAGTACAGGTCCCTGGACACATGGGTAACCCAGAGAAGCCCATCTGTCTCCTGAGCTGCGCCAAGAAGAGCTCAATTCTGTCTCTTTGACTTACCTGTAGTAGCAATCACAGGAGCAGTGGTTGTTTCAGCTGTTTCCTTGGAAGTTCCTACAGTGAACAAGGGAAAAACAATGCCCCTTTGGAAGAACCGTGGGTCCCAGGCATCTCTGCGTGCTCAGGACTTTGATACCAGTTCAGGGCTCTATCACTGAAATGGGTGGATGTCTCTAGCGACTCCCCATTCACAGAGATGAAGATTTTCATATGACTTCCACTTCTCCATCCTCCTTAAGTGACAAAAGGTTGTCTTACACTTAACTCTTTCACTTTCTAGAATTTGGTTTCCTAGTAGTCTCTTATACATTCTCTCCTTCCACAGCAACACGAATGTGTGAGGAAATATCTGTGTTGATCAGGATGGCTTGATTCTCCCCTCAACTTGACTAATTTTAGGCAGATTTTTTCCTAGTTGCAAGGCCCTGGCTTCCATTTTCTTTTATTTACTTTAGAAATCGTGTAATTGTACAATGTTTCTTCTACCACTTGAAGATTTAAATCTCCCTGTTGCCAGTCTTAGAACTCGGGAATATCTTTCTCAAAGATCTAAGAGCCACCCCTTTGAAATGCGATTATGAAGAAAAGTCCCTCCATCTCTTGATCTCTGTGGAGACTAAGGGCCTAACTCTGGCCAGCTGATTGCTTGAACTAATCCATACATGGCTCACTCTCCAGAGTGGCTTCCAGTATCTCCGACTAGTTCATCTCAGCACTTAGGCTCACTCCTGTTTGTTTTAGGAGGGTTGAGTTCAGTCTTGACCTCTTTTTTTTTTTTTTCTTAAAGTTTGGTTTTTTGAGACAGGGCTTCACTGTGTAGTTCAGACTGCTCTGGAACTCACTGTGTAGCCCCGGGCTGGTCTCAAACTCGCAGCAATCCTCCTGCCTCAGCCTCCCGAGTGCTGGGATTACAGGTGTGCGCCACCACGCCCAGCTAGTCTTGACCTTCTCTTGAAATGGCTTTGATCACTAGTACAGTAAGCTTGAATACAGTATTTCTTGACTGTTTAGCTCTGTATGGTGACATCTTTGTTTCACAGTTAAACTTGATAGTCTCTCATAATGTTACATATTGGTTCTCTGAAACCCTGGTATTAAAGGGTGTAGGAATGCTGAGCCTTCTTCAAGGTGGTCTCTTCCATTACCTGGGTGGGGAGTTCCTGATATCCTAGGGGTTCTGCTTAGTACCACAGTGGTTCCTGCAAAGACAAAGGAGGGACATTTAACATCAGCACAGCCTCTATTCCTGTCTTTACAGAACAACAAAAGGAGGAGATGAAATTTCTAACCACTGCTACAGGTGGTATGTGGAACCCCTTTGAGAAGCATGGGGGAAAAAATCCCTTAGACAGATGTGGCCTCTTAGATGTATGCCTTATCTATAGCCACTTTTTTGCAGTTGCATTGGGAGCCTTCACTACCTTACTGGAAACCCAGGTCTAAACTCTGAAAGCTAGAAGGGGGAAAAAAAACCCCAAACAACCAGACAGATATTAAAAGTAAATTCCCCAAAAAGATTCTACCCTATATCTCAGTCCTTTGTCCCCGATATTCCCCCGTGTCAGAGCAAAGACTCGTAGTTTTTAATGATGAACCAACAGGTTTCAGCCACTTGCACTCCTTCATTTAACTCTTACAAAAGCAAAGAAGTCTTAAGTAGCTTCTGCTGTCTTAGTTATGATCAACTTAGGAGAGAAAATTTATTCTTTAAGAATTAAAGTTAGAGCCATTACTCAAAATGTGCTTACTTGTGTTTGAACTTCTGGGGGCACCAGTTGTCTCAGCTGCTTTCCCAGGAGTGCCTACAGGAAGAGGAAATGATAAGCTTCACGAACCTTTCTCATCATAAAAAGCGTGTGACATTGTCATGTTTCTCTTTTTCTGTGATGAAGTAGAAAACACCTGAATACACTTTCTTGCACTGGACAGCAAGCCTGCTGTGTGTCCCCACACCCGTGTCAGGGATACATGTTTACAAGGGATATGGGGAAGAAGAGTCTCAGAGGCTTTACCCATCCATTTGTCTACCACTAGAATCATCTGCACACTGATGAAGCAATGAGAGACTCTTCCTTATAAACACATTATTTTTTTTCATTGACAAGATTCGGGTTGTCCAGGAATGAAAAGCAGAAAAAAAAAAACTGACCAAGCTTTTGATTCACAGCTATTAATTGACGAAATAATTTCCTTCTATTTTAGTGACTTGCACTGATACTGAGAAACACCAATGAATTGCTTGACAGAAATGGAATAGAGAAAATATATCCGGAGAGCAAAAACTATAATTGTCCTCTAGAAAAAACAAAGCACTCCAGAGTGTAGGTTGGCTTCCAGATCTCTCTTTAAGGAGAAGAAATCGCATTGTATCCAAGATAATTTTCATTCACGGTCTGTATGCAGGAAACTTAATTGGACAATCATTTAGAATTTCAACTCCGAAAAAATTCATCTGATGAAATTTCTCCTTCGGTAGTTTCAATACCTTCCCTAGAAACTGTGGAATCTCTGAGACAAAAGGAGGAAAAAAGGACGGGAAAAATTAAACAACATAAAAGTCACATACTACCTACTGATCTTGCCTGGAATATTGTTTAGAGGACAAACAGGGAAACGTGTCGCCCGGGAAATATTTGTCTTTGCAGTGTCTTTCCGAGTCCCCAGCATCATGTTTCCCATGGCTTCTCACAAACACACACACACACACGCCTCCCTACTCACATCTACCCAGAACAGGGCACTACACGCAAGCTCCTCTCCCTTCTGCTATGGGCTGCAACCTTCCAGTACGGCTCCATGGGCTGCCCGAGCCCTTGGACTATCTGCACACACCAGAGTGAGGCGTGGGCCTCCCGCTCCCTGCACAGCCCCTTGGCATCACTTCCCGGCTCAGGGATCTTCGGACTCTCCTGACCAAGACACCCGGGGACGTCCTACTGCCCAGGCCCAACCAGGCCTCTCTATGGAACGCCCGCCCCATTCTTCTGCTCAACGGGACACGCCAGCGGAGCCTCCGCAAACCAACTCAGGGCTCCGTGGAAAATAGTGACCACATGGGGACTGCGTCCTGGGCCAGCTTGGCCAAGTGCCTCTCAGGGAACCACCCTATGGACTCTGGTGCACC